CGAACCCTGTGCCCTTCTATGCAAAAACCAACGTCTTATACACTAGGTAACTGAGGCGTGAAAGCCGCAAGTCTCAATGAATTGCACCATTCGTCTGAAATGAATGATGTAAGAACTGAAGGTAAAATGGTATACTCATGTTCAACAACTTTAATAATCAGACTAGGGTAGCGCCGTTCTTCATGCGAAGAATATCGGTTTGCTTGAGAAAACAAAAAGGAAGATGATATTTCTGTTGTGAATGAAATAAAACCTTTCCCAGCATATCTGCCGTCTATTGTATTTCCATAAAAGAAAATGTAAATAGGTATAGCCGATCAGTCACGGTTTGCATAACTTGATGGCAAAACATTTGACTTCAGTGACGAAGGTTTGAATGCCTTATGAAACAAGAGTATTTCCAATTTTGTGGATACACCAGGCTGACTGAAGCCGATAAACATGGGACTTGTGTCGCGAACTTCCGATCAGTTAACTTCTAAAATCTAGCGCCCAGCACTACGTACGTTAATTAGCTTAGTGGTGACGCTGGAAAACTATAGAAAGACCTAAAATATCCCTCATTACTGTACAGCCACATAGATTATCATCTGTTCATGAATTCATACGGACATATATGAATCAAAAATTTCAATGGAACACGCTTTGTACTTTTAATCAAACGAGACGTATTAATTGGCAAAATGTTTGAAATGTAGTTTTGTTCAAAGTATTTTACTACACTTAATGATGATTACAAACAAAGAGGTCACTGTATCTGACAAAATAATGCTATTCTGAATCAGAACAGTTGATTCAAGTACAATGTCAAGGTTGATGCAGATGAATGATTTCAGACTAAAACAGCAGATAAAGTTTAACTGGTTACCTGTTTCACACCAATAAGCTCTTTAAAAAACTACGATAAACCGCAGCAACTCTACCAAGGCAAGGCTTTTGAACATGGATTGCTTTTAGGGACTACTTTATCCGTAATTAGCAGACAAAGTATTTAAATAATCCATCCATTATCAAGCTTTTGTCAATGAAACATTTATAAAATATGAAGAGGAGTTAAGGACTTATTGCACATATTCATGTGGTTACACAATTCAGTGGCTGAGAGCTTCAGGTGTCTTGGCCGAAAATCTATCTAACTGATACAAATGCATGCAGAAATAAAGGACAACTAATTCTGTTTCATTTCCTGCCTTCACTGTTATGTTTCTTATTCATTTCATTTTCATTTCTGTCTGTTACTTTTTCTTGTCGTTGAGATGTAAAGCAATTTGAGAGATAGGCCTTTTGACTAATGTTTTTCATGCTTATTGTCTGTAGTTAAGTCGAAGCAAAGTGTTAAAATCCATAGCCAATATGAATTTACAGAAAATAATGGAAAAAAAGTTCTTTGTAGACTCTTCTTCTATTTGGATAATCAATACCCCCAATAGACATAAAGATGGCAAACAAACCTGTCTGCGTTTCGACTTGGAAGGAAATTAATGTGGTATTTTTCTTTTTGTTTCGTTTCACCCTTACCTGGGACTGAGGTTGTTGCTTTCAGAATAGTTTCTGTGCACAGACCTGCTGCTTTAATTAATAAATCACAACAGAGATCGACGAAAATGTTGAGTATACTTATAGCCAGCTGAAAGTAAACTACCTTACAAACACTTAATCTGACAATAAAGATATGATGAGGGTATACTGATAACATACACGTAGACCGTGAAATCATGACACATCAATCAACTTCTTGTATACACAAAATCTAATTTACAAACGAAATGAAATGTGATGGAAGAGGGTGACTCAGGCAAAGGTAAGATGAGGGGTTCGACACTAGTGTTCATCAAAGTTTCTCAGATTCAAATTGACTGTAATATTTTAGATCATCCTACTGGATAGGGAAGACTTTAACGGAATGTCTAGAAATAGATCGGTGAATTCATGATATATACAAACTAAGTTCTGTTGTGTAACAAGTACTCTTGTGAGATGATCCGCAAAAGTTGATATTAAGTATGCAAAAACGCTTAGCCATGTAATTAAAGTAACAAAAGACCTAAATAATAATAAGGTCAACATTACTGCAAAAGAATTTAAATCTTTCGAAGTGTGGTTCCAAGGAAGTTCTCCCAGAGATTCTAGAAAGACCTGGCACTAAAATCATATTCAGAGATGTAAATTCCCTTGTAAATACAGTTAACTAAAGGATCTCATTGAGTCTATTAGAGAAAGCGACGACTCCGTGAAATACCCTTGATGTCAACTACATTAGGTAAAAGTAGCTGAACAGAGTCACTTGCATGAAAGATTCCTATGAGGCAGAGTAACTTAAATCACCTCCACTATACTAAAGCATGATTACATACAGAATTGCTCATAAACCAGTGGATAGGGAGAAATTGTTTAAAAATGACTCAGGTGACTAGAGGGATAGATAATTAGAGTTTAGGTAATTGAACCAATATCGAACACATTTATTGAAATAACTTGGTACATTCTCCAAATATTTGAAAATTTCAACCACGCTTACAAATAACGATATGAAGGATTAGAACAACTTACTCTCCACTTTAACGTTTTCACTTGAATCCACTTAGCTTGTGTGTTACACTTACTAGATTTCTCTACAACAGAACTTTCAAGTGTGGCATTTGGAATACCCACAGTTGTTCAGAATCAAACTCGTTCATGTTTTGTCTGATTAACAATGACAATAACTTATGTAAGCGATAACAGAAGTAGTATGAAATCGAAAAAAACTCTAGATGTTCTATTTAACTCAAATTTTTCTAAAACACTGTAAATATTTTGACACATTACTAAAGGAATAAATCAAGCTAGGTTTCTTCTGTAAAAAGTGAAATGGAGAATAATTACCTTATTAAGTCTTCATAATGCTTGTTAGAAAAGATCTCTAACCTCTTTTATTTTTCATTATGACTTTCGGTATAATTTAGTGACTTATACGTGTAAACGTACTGATAAACTTTGTTGGTTGAAGGGTTTTACCAAATCAGTTATAATTTTGAAGCGAAATATATTAGTTACCGTAGAAGATCAGTTTGTATTTTTGGATGTCACGTTAAATGGACATTATGTCTAACCGTTAATCCCAAAGAAATAGTTTTTCCACAGGAAAGTTTCATAATTACTATATGTGCTCAATATTCTTTAACAAAAGACTTATAATTAGACAAAAGGTGAAATCATTAAAACAGAGCACTTGGTCATTGTAGTAGAAATATGAAAACGCTTAATATGATTCATACAAAGTCTTGCCCTTAATCAACTCATGTATTGCGAAATATTGTAGATAAAAGAATTAAGTTTTTAAAGAAATGGAAAAGATTTGTAGCTCAAGATGTAGATGACAGTGATTTGATGTTCTCTAAGGGTTAGTGTTTTGTCTTGGATATTTCATACACGACTTGATGATATCTACGGCACTAACTTCAACTAAGAAATAAAGTCCATTGAAATGTTGCATGAATGTTTAGGTGGTGTTTTTGTTCACCTGATGTTCAACTGTTAGTTAGGGAAAAGATTATTCTCTATGGCTTTAGATTTCTTTCCATCAGACTAGCAGCGAATATTTGTAAGAGTCAAATTGTACTATTTGTTGGTCACTCTGTGGTTCATTATTCACTTGTTTATAGCTGTTTCCTTCCAAAGTTGTACAGTTTCACTCTAAATAAGATTATCTGCAGACCTAACCTAGAGAATTGTAAAGTAAAATAGGTTAATGCGTTTCAAAAAATTTTTTCCTGAACTTACAACAGGACAACACTCAGAGTAAATAAAAATGCTACTAATATTCATGTCACATTTGAATATACTACACTCCATTCGGAAGCTGTTGATGATGATGTCACCAAACCTGGTACTGAAACGTTCAGTCAAAGAATCAAGTTTCTAATTAGTGTAAATGATTTCAACATTAGAAATGATAAATGGTATCCAAAGCGTTTTACAGTGAGTAAAAGTGCATAGCTATCTGTCTACATGTGGCGAATTAATTGTCATCTAATTGTTCGTACTTCATCAGAACTCAACAATGTAAGTTAGGTAATTCTTTTAAATATGAATGGTTTTCATTACTTGTTTCACTACTCCAATCATTTGACTAATGTCAACATACATGCATAGTTATTGTTGGAAGTTTCATAGGGATATTGGTATTTTCTAAGTTGAATTTCATGATGAATCGACAACAAGAACAGTGAAAAACTAAGGTCAGACTAGAACATTTCATCAGCAGGTATATTTTATGACTGTTGACCTGTGTTGTGTAGTATAATCTGCAATTCCAGGCTGCGGTTTATGTACAGCCAAAATTATCAGTTGCAGAATTCCGGTGACATAGCTCACAACCGACCTCAATGACGCAGATGTACCCACGAATTATTTCCACCTTAACTGTTATGCCTCATTTCGTTATTTATTTTCTCACATTTCTTTGCGGTTTATGACTTTTGGTAGAATTTATCTTGCTTTCTTGTTCTTCTTTACGTTTCCTAAATCTTATATGTGGCACATTGAACTGTTGGTCAGAAATGTTAAGTCTATTGCTGATGCCTATTGTTTCATTCTATTTCAGAGCCTAATCGGCAGTTGATAATCACTACCACAATCAAAACTGAGTCAATGACGGTTCTCTTTTGAAATGAACGCATTATCATCCAACCGCTAGGTTAGAATTAAACAGATCACAATTTATAAGTCCAGCTTATTCACTGCGTTAGCTCTCAAGTGGTCTTTGGTTTTCGTTATCTTTCTCTAGATGTTGACACTTCCTGACAAGAAAAACTACTTTAAAGTTGTCAGTTCCCCACAGATCACTGGAGTGAAAGGAAGTTTATTTTGTTGTCCAAGTAAGCATCTGATGTCTTTGATATCAATAGGTTGTGAACTGCACTTTTACTCAGTCGACTTCTAAAATCACAAAAATCTTTCAAAATATTTACGTTGGTTGTTTTCGATCATCATTTTGTATTCTGTACCATTGACTTCAGGGTTTATACAGTGAAGTATTGGGTCCAACTTTACCTACTCTTATGCATAATACACATTCTGATTATGAACACATTGGTATGGCATTGTCGACGAGGGCAATCGGCCTTCTCTTTGGTTCACTGCTTGGTGGAATATTATCTGATCGTTTCAAAAATCTGCGTGCAGTTTTCATTATGCTATCACTTTTAATTGGTGCTATCACTACTATAATTGTACCATGGTGTCCAGACATAGTTAGTTTAACAGCTGTACTGTTTATAGCCGGCATCTCACATGGTTTTCTTACAACAAGTAAGTTATTTTTTATTGATCTGTATTTATTTTTAATGCTGAATAGTTGAGATTTATGACTAGGATATAGGGATATGGCTGGATGTAGATGAATTAGTTGCAAAACCGTAATCAGTTTGGAAGTTAAGCCTTTCGTGCTAATTTAATTGATTAAGTGTTACGTACAGTCGATGAGCTAAATATCTTATGCGTAACACTGGTAGTATATATGTTTCAGCGGCTTCTTACAGCAGCGGGATTAATTTTCTACTTTTGCAGTAGGTAGACATATGTGGTGTATGTGTCATATGACGATGTATTGTTGTGGTTTCGTACACTCATGTTTTCTTTACCAAGAAGTGAAATCAATAAAGCACGCATTAAACTGTATTTGTTTATCACCTTCATTTTGGTTGATGGTGAAACAAATTCTTTGTAGCTGTGCTATCATATGATACACTTTAAACTATCCATCAAAGAACACATTTATTCCCTCTTATCGTTTTTGTCTTGACCGTGAAAGAGTTAATGAAGCAAAGTTGTAGCAGATAAATTAAGATTGCCTTAATAATATTTTATTAAGGTTACCTGCTTAACTTATGTGAAATGGAATAAAATACTTTAACTTAAAACAGCTTGATACTCTACATACACGTAGTTGTGTTTGAAAATAGTTTATTCTCTTTGTCTTGAGTGGAAGTGTCTGAGAATCATTCACTATTTCAGAAAAACCGAATCTACATGAACTCTTTTACTTATACTGTCAAGGTAAAAAGATAAATCGGATAATAATGTGATATTAACTACCATTCTTTGCAATAAAAACTTAGTTGTAGTCTGAAATAACACCCTGAAAACATACGAATATCCTGACTGTGAATAGCCTCTGTTTAACAACCATTTGAGCAATGACAACCGTAAGTTTATTTCCTCGTGTGCTGGTTTACTTCTGAACCATAAATGCCGTAAATGCACCGAAGTCAAATTCAAGGCTAACGTTAGATTGTCCAAATGTTATGTTCCAAAAATAAAATTTCAGTTAATTCACTAAACAGGTGATAGCTCTCAGGAACCACTGTTATGAGACCTTAACCTTAGACTACTATTTTGCTTTACGCAGTTTACACACCTGCCCACTTATTCCATAAAAAATTGTTTAAGGTGTATGATTAGTATTGAGATATTTTAGATCTCATAACTGTCTCAATGCTTTGAATTCGTAAGAAAATACGTGCGAATGCAGAGGACTCATTTGTTATTTGAAGCTGCTTTCAATTTTCCTTTGAAGCACTTTATATGATGTCTGCCGTTTCAGTTCAAATATCAAAGTTTGAAGTGACTTCATCAGTTTGTTCAGTTTTTTCCACTGATTTTATATGGCCACTTTGGTTTTTTATAAGAAAAAATGGAGGATACCAACCGAAATCGTATTTCAAGTTTAGTTTCTTTGCTAGGCTTCAACAGCTATTCAAAAAGCTGTCGAGGAAGTTTCAGAGAGTATGTCAAATTAGTAACAATTTAGGGGAAAGGTAGGGCGATTTGAAAAAAGGTCTGGATAGTTGAGGAAATTTTCAATAGTTCCAAACAATTGTACCTTGCTTATGAGCATTTTGGATGACGTTAAGTACGTTTGAAGGCAGTCAACGTTTGAACTGCCTTCTTCTGACTTCATGTGATCAGTTCGCTTACACTTTACATATTATCACTTTATTATAGATGGTAATCCACTACTTGCTTCTGTTTGGAAAGAGAAAGCCGCCGGACCGTTTAGCCTAATGCATTCAGGCTATGGTATGGGAGCAGCTATAGCTCCATTGTTAGTGAAACCATTTACACTTCCATCAGTTGTAAGCAATAATTCACTTATAATGAATACAACAAAACACGATGACTCAAGAGAATTGGTAATTGTTGATGCTGCAGTACCTTATTCAATAATTTCTGGAATTATATTCCTTTGTATAGTGTACTTCTTTGTAATCGTCTGTTTTGATCATCCAAGATTTGGTAGGCAAGAGCAGATGAAATCTTCGAAAAGCAAAGACAAGGTGAGTTAATAGTTATTTTGTTTCTTGTTGGTCGTAGGTTTTTGTCATTTCATTGTAAATTTATTTTTCAATGCGGGAAAGCAGCTGGACCAGATGGGATACCACCAGAAGCACTGAGAACAGATGCAGAGACAACAGCGGACATGCTCACACCACTATTGCAGAAGGTGTGGAAGGAAGAGAAGGTACCTGGTGATTGGAAGAAGGGTTATCTTGTCAAAATGCCGAAGAAAGGAGACCTGTGTTTGCAAGAACTGGCGCGGAATCACTCTCCTGTCCACCCAGACAAGTAAAATATTAAGCCGCATCATCCTGGAGAGGCTTAAAGATGCACTGGATTCAAAACTATGACCAGAACAGGCTGGCTGGCTGGATTCAGGAAGTACAAATCATGTGCAGATCAAATTGAACGCTTCGCATCATCATAGAACAGAGTATAGAATGGCAGTCAACTGGATCTCTACCTCAACTCAACTTCATCGACTTTGAGAAGGCTTTTGACAGCGTCGACCGAGAGGTAATTTGGAAACTGCTTCAATACTACGGAGTACCGCAAACCTTTATCCGCCTCATTCAACAACTATATGAAGATGCCACATGCCAGCCAAGTAATCCACAATGGGAAGCTCAGTGATGCCTTTGAAGTAAAGACAGGAGTGAAACAAGGTTGCCTACTGTCCCCCATGATATTCCTGATTGTGGTGGACTGGATCATGCAGCAAACAGTAGGCAGCGAGAAGAGGGGGATACACTGGACGACGGAAAAGAACCTAGAAGACTTGGATTTCGCCGATGACTTGTGCCTAATGTCACATAAACTTGAAGATCTGCAGGCAAAAACTAACAAGTTGATAGAAGAGGCAAGGCAGCGAAGACGGGACTTCAAGTGAATATAGAGAAGACAGAAGTGATGAAGATACCGCACTACCACCATCAACAACAACAACAAACTCCAATCACCGTCAACGGGAGAAACTTGAAGGAAGTAACCTCCTTCACTTATCTAGGAAGCACTGTTTCAACTACAGGCGGGACGGACGAGGACGTCAAAGTCAGAATCGGAAAAGCAAGACAGGCGTTCATTAGCCTGAAACCAGTGTGGAGATCTTCTGCACTCCACTCAGCATGCGGAACAAGATACGGATTTTCAACACCAACGTCAAGTCAGTGCTCTTGTATGGTTCAGAGACTTGGCGCGTCACGAAAGGCATTTCCAATAAACTACAGACATTCATCAACAACTGCTTACGCTGGCTCGCTGCTGAAGATCAGATGGATTGCCAGAAAGAATAAGCAACAAGGAACTCTGGCTAGTGACGAACCAACCAAGAACCTATCATGCAACAAATATGCAGGAAGAAGTGGAGATGGATTGGGCATACACTGAGAAGGCCGACTGGGGACATCACGCTCTAGACCAGGCCCTCGAGTGGAATCTCCATGGGAAGCGACGAGTTGGACGCCCGGGAGGGTGACATGGAGGAGATCGTGCGAGGAGGAAATGAGAGTTTGTGGGCTGTCGTGGAGCCAGGTTCAAAAGATTTCAGAGAACAGAGGTCGCTGGAGACGTGCTACTGAAGCCCTATGTTCCATTAGGAACCCAAGGGACTAATAATAATATAATAATAGATTCGAGTTTATCCTCAGATTCGATTCGATGGTGTACCAAAATTGTAGGTATACGATGATAAGTCAGTGGATTACAGGGAAATTTCATGGTTTCTGATTAAGTGTGGCATCTATCTGGAGCTTTATAGAAGTAATTCAAGCTTCAAGCATCAGACACAAATAAACTGTATATAGATTGTGTGAAACTATACTAAGATCATCTGTGTAAAAGATAAGAAATAAATTATTAAAACTATGTTATAAAGGGTAAATAAACACAAAATATAAAACTGTGTCTTGAAAATATTACAATAACTCGCATCCAGGTTATTTTGAGGTCATGATATGCGTCTTTAGATAATCAGCGTCAAGACATCCTCGACTGGTGATCGTTCCCTTTCGAAGGTAATCCGTCGTTGAGGAAAGAATTTTAGAAAAATCCTCGGCATCCTATAATCTATAAATTTAACTTGTCTTTTCCCACTGTCACGTAAAGCATTTTAACCTTAGAAGATAGTCATCATTTGAGGTTGAGAAAAAGATTTCGGTGTAATAAAAAATCGGTTTAAGGTGCACTTTATGAACAGTTGCATAATTAGCACATTTCTAGTAGATTTTTAACTTCGTTATTGAAAATCAATTTCAACTAACACGTATTCTGTATAAATTGATGAATATATATGTCTCTAAATGCACTTTGGTAAATATATTAATCTACAGTAAATGGATTACTTCTTTAAGTTGACTGACTCTTTCCTTGAGTATGTGAAAACAGTTTCCGAGGTTATCCTGATTTAAGTGTTAGATGTGGGGATTCAGTTGTCAGGGAAGACTGCTTGATCTAGGTATCATGCGTATCGATAGTCATCAGTAAGGCGTATGATGAAAAAACTGATGTTCCATCAGTGGTACAAACTTGCATCACTCGATGTTGAATTCATAGCCTCAATTTCTGAAATGTCTAGGCCAAAATGGTGTGCATTACAGTTTTGTAAGAATCAGCCCAGTGGCACAATACAAGACTTGATGGTTAGATATCAATCAGTGGTAATCACTCGAGATAAATCGTCTACATCGGTTACCCACTGGTGACCAGTTTGTTTTTTCCCTATGTAAGAAATATATATTGAAGAATTTAGATTACTGTTCAATTTTATGTCATCAATGTACATCCATATTCAGTCTATTTCAGAGGTGGTGTCAATAATCCTTTTCATCATATTTTGACAAAGCCCTGTATTTAACATCACGAGATTTAATATCATGCGATGAAAATAACAAGCACCTAATCTTCTCTTCACTCTTCTAAGGAATAGAACCAAGAGCTAAAATACTCATCTACCGAGATGGTGAAGTACTAGTATAAAATTATAAACCAACGAGGAAATCTAGTTTACAAGTGTTTTAAATTGATAGGGAGACTTGATTATGGCAGGTTTTACATATGCTGAGTTTTATCACGACCAAGCGTCTCTTAGAACTTTATGAGTCATCCAGTGATATGAGGATTGGACTACAAAGTATGGCTGCCTAAGGTAACCTTCTTAATGGTAAATTGGTCTCGCCATCACACATAACTAATATATCAGGGAAATGTCTGCCTAAAGAAGCTACGAGACATCAAACAATAAGACCACGAAAGTAGCGTTAGTTAAATCAAAGATAACATGTAAGAACGTGTCTCTCAGATGAATCACCTGAGATTACACATACAATCAGAAATTTTAGGAGAAACTTGACTGAGAACAGGTTACAGCGAGGCGAGAATATCAATACCTGGTCTTAAAATGTTAATGCAATGCAGTGCACTCAACTCACTTTCATCTCGTTTTCCTGACATCCTGGGGTGGGAATATTCAAATGATTTTGGGGTAAACAGAGATTGTAATAAAATCAGTAACTAACCTTAGATCTAAAAGTCTTACAGGAATCCACACTGAGGCATAATGACTCCTTTTTTATGTGAAAAAAACGAGCGAATTGCCTCAGCAACTGGAGATCAAGAGTTATGCAGTTGTATAACGACTCAGTCACAGTAGAAAGACTAGCTAACAAATATCAGTGGACTTCAGTCGACTAGAAATCAATCGATGATTGCTAAGTCACATGGATACAGTGAATACGTGGTTTCCTAGTTTCACATCTTTCCGAGTAAATGTCAAGCATTAAGGTTCTGTCAATTGTCATTCTAATGCCTAGTCATTGTACTATTGAAATGAAAAGATTCTTTCGTTGACAGACTCTTCCCAAATCAAACAAATAACAAATTGGAGCAAGTATTGTACTGATGAACCTCTCCTAGTTAACTGGTTCACTAGTTACCAGTAGGTCCTAAGCCCGGATAAAACGGAAGCTTCGGCATAAGGCTAGCAACCCTACAACGTAAAACCAATCAAATCGCCAAAAAAACTTCAAAGCACAAAGAAAATATTAAAAATAAAAACAAAATTATTCCTCACTGGAACCGGAGAGACGAAATGACGCCAATTGGTGAAAGTCTTCGACAAGCCAGCCAGCCGATGTGTATTCTCTCCCTCGATGACAGCGAAAGTAAACGTGAGGACATGGAATATACACACCACGTATGGATCTAGCAAGGCTGCCAACATTCTCAAAGAGATGAGAAGCTATAGCATAGAAGTGTCAGGCTAGAAATCTGTGAAAGCAGATGGAATAGAAGTGGACTCTCCAAACTGTCAACTGGAGGTGAGTCAATAATCTACTCTGATATTGTCACCCACATGACAACCACGAGCACAACACACTGAGTTTTCGAGTGGCTATTATGACGTCCCCAACAGCATCGAAGGCTCTCTCTGAGGAAGTGGGAACCAGTCTCCTCCTGTAGGATAGTGACAGCAAGGTTCGACTCAAAAAGGAGGAAAGTCACAATCATTCAATGCTACGCTATGCACCCACAAATAATGCAGATGAAGAGGAGAAAGAGTAATTCTACAGACAACTTCAACCAACACTGGAGAGGAATTCAGTTGGTGACATCAAAATTCTAATGGATGACATGAATGCCAAACTGGTAGCGGACAATACAGGAAGAGTATCAACCATGGGTCTGGGAGCACTCAGTGAAATGAATGAGAATGGAGAACTGTTTGCAGATTTCTGTGCATTCAACGATTTGGTGATTGGAGGCGAGGCAGTGTGTACAAACACAAGGATATTCACAAAGCGAGCAACATGCATTCGATTTCACAAGACACAAGGACACACTACACTAAAAATCAGATCGACTTCATCTCAGTGTGAAGAGAGGAGATGGAGGGAGACACAGCCAGCCTACTGGACACAAGATGAGATCAAGAAGAGGAGCAGATGTCGGTAGGTTCACACCACTCACACCACTATCTAGTGTGAGGAACCTACCTTCAAAATCAAGTTGAAGGCCCTCAATTCAAAGAGGTTGGTGACAGACGACCACAGTTCAAGTTGAACACTCACAACAGAAACTGAAACTGAGGGACGAAACTATGAAGGACATCTTCACGTCAGTCAGTTATCAGGACGAAATAGGAGACATTGAGCAACATCCCCATCACCGAGGAAACCTGCGTGCAAGGACACTGGAACTCTTTGAAAGCCATGTGGAAAGAAACCTGCATAACCGTATTAGGAAGGAAGAAGAAGAGGCAAGACAAGGCAAGACAAGACAAGACAAGACAAGACAAGGAATGGATCTCGACGGACACATGGAAGCTGGAAGAGTAGAGAGAGGAAGATTGTGAGATGGTGAAGCGGAAGATGAACCAGTGCAGTGTAGGGATGCGCAACGAGAAGAGGAACTGAGTACAACCTATGAAACACTACATTGGACAAAGAAGTGAAGAGGAGTGCACGGAAAGACGCAAGACACTTCTACGACACATTGCCAAGTAAAGCCGAACAGGCTGCAGACTGCAGGCTGCAGGTAGGAGAGACAGAGACCTGACAACACTATATCAAATAATCAGGTTACTATCTGGGAGGGGAGAGAGAGATCAACTCAGACGAGACCAATGAAAGATGCTAGTGAAGGGAAGCTAGTGATCAAAGAGGAGGAGAAACGAAGGAAACGATGTGCTGACCACTTCAAAAATCTCTTGAATCGACCACCACCACCACCACCACATGCAAGTTGTCCAGAAATACCACCAGCAGTCCAGTCACAGAACTACCAGTGAACACAGGCTCTCCGACAAAAGCAGATGTCCGGAATGCCATAAAACTGCTGAAATCTGGCAAAGCAGCAGGACCAGATGGAATTCCTCCAGAAGCACTGAGAGCAGATGCAGAGGCAACAGCAGATATGCTCACCACTACCTTAGATGGTCTGGGACGAAGGAAGTAGCTGGCCAGTGATTAGAAGAAGGTGTACCTTCATCGACTTTGAAGAGGCTTTCGACAACGTCGACCGAGAATTAATTTGGCAACTACCTCAGCACTACGGAGTGCCACAAACGCATACCAATCTCATTCAACAGCTGTATGAAGACGCCACATGCCAGCTGATCCACAGCGGGAAGCTCAGTGATGCCTACGAATTGAAGATAGGAGTAAAACAAGGCTGTGTCTACTATCTGCCATGATATTCCTGATTGTAGTGGACTGGATCATGCAACAAACAGTGAGGAGCGAGAAGAGGGGGATACGCTGGACTGGGGAAAGGATCCTAGAAGATATGGAGTTCGACGATAATTTACGTCTAGTGTCACACAAAATCGAAGGTCTACAGGCGGAAACTAACAAGTTGACAGAAGAGGCAGGGCAGAGCAGCGAAGACGGGCCTTCAAGTGAACGTAGAGAAGACGGAGGTAATTAAGATACCCAAACAGCGCTACCACCATCATCATCATCAACAACAACAAGCTCCAATCACCATGAACAGGAGAAACTTAAAGGAAGTAGCTTCTTCACTTACCTAGCTAGCAGCATCGTTTCAACTGCAGGCGGCACAGGTGAGGACGTCAAAGCAGCCAGGATCAGAAAAGCAAGGCAGGCGTTCACTAACGTGAAACCATTGTGGAGATCTTCTGCACTGCACTCAGCCTGAAGCGTGGTCAACATCCGGATTTTCAACACCAACGTCAAGTCAGTGCTCCTATATGGTTTGGAGACTTGGCGCGTTACGAACTGCAGACATTCATCAACAACTGCCTACCTTGGCTCAATACTGACACTGAAGATCAGACGACCAGAAAGAATAAGCAACAAGGAACTCTGGCCGGGTAACGAACCAACTAAGAACCTATCGCTGAACAAATATGCAGTGGAAGGAAGTGGAGATGGATTGGACATACACTGAGAAGATCGACTGGGGACTTCACGCGCCAGGCATTCGAGTGGAACCCAGATGGAAAGCGACAAGTTGGGCATGCGATGCGTGGGTGACATGTAGGAGATTGTGTGAGGAAGAAATGATAGCTTGTGGGCAGTCGTGGATCCAGGCTCAAAAGATTGCAGAGAAGAGATTGCACCAGAGGCGTGCTACTGAAGCCCTATCCTCCACTAGGAACCCAAGGGACAAATAGAAAATAAAAATTGTACTGTAGAATACTAGATAGTGTTCACTTTGTCATTCAATGAGTTGTTGAAATGCGTAACTGTGTCAACCTCAACATATCTTACTGTCCTTGCGGTGATATTTTTATCTGAATTCGCTTACTCTACCACCAGTTTGAATAACAAGGAACTGTATTGTTGACAGTATTTAGATACCATATGTTCAGTTGGGATCTGTAGCAAGGCCGGGAAACAGATTAGTTCTGGTTCGACACAGATGATTTTGATAGAGACCATCAACATTACTTACAGACTTCATTTCCAACTCCCGTGGCTATATTAGAAAAGCTCATTAAGGTTAGAAGAAACTGCATCTGAATCGTTCAAAGATATCTAGGCAGTGTTGTTACTTGACAGTTGGAAACAGCTATATAACTACACTACATGCACGAAATTCTGGACGAACAACCCACACTACAGAATCTACTACATCATATTTTCAGAGTTATTAAGTTTGCAAACGTTTTGTATATAAACTGTTCATAGGAATAATTTTTCGGGACTAGTGGTTACAATTTGTTCTCATCCACAGTCCAGACTTTTGGTAAAATTCTAGTGAAAAGTGAACTTAGTGGCCGTTGGATGGATAAATGTCTTATGCAATCATTTATTTCTACTCAGTCAAATTCTGTTAAACCTTGTCTGTCCTCCTTGTACAGGTTATGCACACATTTTGTAACATTGTTTGGCTCACTTTACATTTCCAATAACTAGAGTAACCTGGAATAGAAGCGAAGAACTTCGTTAAACTATTGTGTAGTAGACATATTTCTTTAGGTTTCCAATAACTATAAACATAAGGACATAGTCTGCTACAAACTGGCAACATAACAGATTGGAATGTTGGTCCTAAAAACCGGACCAAAGTGTATCACTCTACATTAACCTTATTTTATAACTTACTTGTCATTATTACTATTATTGTTGTATTTATTACTCTAAAAATGTATGCTTTGAGATAAGTATGCTTTTACTGCGGTTACCATGACCTTTCAAGCAATGTTTAAATATTTGTATTTGACGAGCTCAGTTACATAGATTGGACGGTGAATTATCGTATCCAATGACCGACTGGAATCTAACATTTTAGATAGTCGGTTTCAAGATAAGTACTTACATGTTTTTCTAAAAAATACCAAAACAAAGTGATCGAAAGTCATAGGTATATCTTGTTGGCTATGTGTATAAATGGCATTGCTAATCCCATGAGCATCATTCAGATGTCAACTTGTGTTGTGTGAGAAATGAAGGGCTTTTATGGGATTTTTTTCTACAGACAACCTGAGAACATTTGGCTTCCTACATTTGTAACTGAAATTTGTGACCAATATTCAAACCAAACATAGAGATTTTATGGTATCACTGAAGAACGAGGGCTGAAATGTTTAGACACAGAAAACTACAAGTAAATTCTATTGTAATATATGCAGCTTTGATAGAAAAGCCTCACAGATTTGTGGTGATTGTGGAGGGTGCCTCTAATGTCTAGTAATCCTGGATAAGTGTATTTTGACATTTACCTGGAGTTTACTACCTGAAAGATTTCTCAACTGAAAACACTTTTGTGTAATTTGGCTTCAGAAAAGGCAGCAGAAGCATAATCTCGTACTTCTATGCATCTAACATATTCACTATGCCATCAGTAGTGGCAACGGGTGAATATGAGCTTAATGATAGTAACTGTCAACATATTATTCATTTAGTGGAGTGTAATTCCCGCGTAAGATCTTGTGGAGTTAAAATGAATGTACCAATTATGCATCACGGTAAACATTTCTGAAACATCGATGTGAGCAACAATCAATTATCTTTTTCCTTCTTTTCTCCTTTGCAGAAGTTATCATCAAATGACAAAAGCTTAGAGGAGAAGTCTTTGGAATCACCTTCAATCAACTGTTCAAAACTGGGTCGTAAAATCAAATCGTTTTGTATTGAAAAGTATCATGGTGTCACGAAGACGAAATTACTTGTCGTCTGTTGTACATTTATAACTTTTTTCACTACCGTTGGCAATGAACGTGTTTTTGGTAAATTTATGTTCACTTATGCTTTGTATGGCCCAGTGAAGTTGTCTACTTCAGATGGTTACTTAATCAATCTAATCTATTGGATTTGCTTTTGTTCTGCACGCATTATTACCTTTCTCATCGCCTTGTATATATCAGAAAATATTGTATTGATTTCGTTAGCCTTTGGTACTTTGTTCAGCTCAATCGGTTTGATTGCATTACCGCATACCAAATTCTGGTTTTTCTTATGTACGACACTGTTCAGTTTATTTAAGAGTCCCTTGTTTCCTGCCACTTTGGCATGCATTAATCACTCAAGCGAAATTTCGGGGTTTTTGGTTATCATCGTAAACTTCGGTAGTGCATCTGGCGCTACATTACTTCAATACACTGCTGGTCACTTAATTCATCTACACGGTCAATTTGTCTTTCCATATTTGGTAACAGGGACTGCTTGCCTACTTGTAATCGCAGCCTGTGTCCTGATATTGGGCTTAAGGCACATAGGAAGTAGGTTTAAACATTCTGATGACAATCCCATTGCAACTGACAACTCCAATCAAGAGGAAAATTCGGTTACGACACTTCCAAGAACAACGGCAGTCACAACATCATTGGCTAGTGAGAAGAAACATACAGGAATGAATGATGTCAACAGTGAAAATGATGGATTATGACAGTAAATGAAATAATAATAATAATAATAATAGGAGAGATGGTCTACAAATAACTTCCGCTTGTTTCTGACTTATCTACCTGTATATTTACAACCTTCATCTTGACCAGATCATTTTCACGAATGCCAATATAACTGGACAACATACCTTTACTAATCTTTAAGTATTTTCTCTTAACCGAATAAATCTGTGTATTTTTACATTTCGGATTTATGAGAATAATTCACTCACATATTTTTTACACAGTGTAAACTTCTATGAATTCCAACTTCCTCTGTTTACGTAGTTCCATTTTTTGATTAGTTAACTGGATTATCAATTTAAATGTTCTCCTTATGATCTCACTGTTTTGTACTCGCTATTTTAATACATAAGTGCAGTTATAAATAAAACGAGTTGAACATGATGTCGATGAAATTTGCGTTCGTAGTATTAGGTGACACCTGGGTTATTGTGGAATACAGACACTTAACAGCACTGAAATATCTACGCATAAGTATGGTTGCATACAAATAATGTGGCTTTCCATCTGTACATTTAATTCCATCGACCTTGAATAAGTAATCCATCAGCTCGCTTATGCAAAACAAGTGCCTTATTTTAATCTTGTAATATCAAAAAAGATCCAACTGAAGGAACGTATTCTAAGTTCATATTGTAGTAGACGTAATTGTGTAATAGGTAGCTATTGAACACATAATTTTATGCAAATTATATGCTTTTTATTGACATGGCGACAGTCTCAGTTGAATGAAATTATAGACTGTGAAATGCGCGGAACTTTGGATATATGAAATAATAACAGTCACATCGATCGGTCACTGTAGAGAAGAAAACTGCATTTTATCAAATTCTGTGAATAAATTGTGTGACAAAAATATTTTTGTAGTATAATTGTCAAAGCTAGGAGAAACTTTATCTTAAGGGACATCCTGACTTTAATTGGTTGCAGGTGCCGTTCGAAAAGGTATAAAACTATTAGCAACATTTATTTCTGATATATGAACACAGATATATTTCTTTTCGTCAAGCAATAAGGTCATATTTAAGTGGGATTATAGTCGGAACACGCCTCCTCTACGTCATACTAATCTTCGCTGCCAAAAGCACTCTTTAAATTGTAATGAAGAATGCTATTTATTTAGGATTTCATATTTTACTGAACCAAATAAAGTCACTAGACTTAATTTTACAGCCTGCTACTAAGGCATATGTTTGTAATTCTCGATAAGTGACATTCGGTCAGAAAATGTCCATACAGTTTGGTGTGAGACTGCAAAATAGTGTCAGAACGATAATTTGAAGGATGTGCACTTCGGATATTCCACCATTTGATCCCCATTACTGCAATCTCACTAAAAATTCACCTCAATGTCTTTTTCCCATGTTTTTCAAGGGTAAAAATTGTTTAGTTAAGAAATTCATCTCGATGAAAAAAGTGCATAAGTTACATTTGTGTTATATATATGACTTTATATTCGTCAGCTTGATGACTGCAGAAAGCATACTTGTCAAGTCTATATTCTCACGATTTTCTTCATTGCGTTTTTACATTACTCACGACGTAAAAGTTCAAGAATTATTCATTTTCGCAGCACTGCGTTTATTGATGATTCCCTTTAGATAGTAAACTGAGTGTCTTTTATCAGTGACAGAAACTGACAATATTGCTTCAGTGATATTTCATCTTTATATGGTAACGGAATGGTAGAAACAATTCAGTTTTTTTATCGACCTTACTTTTGAAGATCGAGATTTAAAATAAACATGCTCTGCAGTGTGATTGAAACTCATTGCTTCAGGAAAAAGTTAGAGCTACCCGGTAAACACTTTTGGCACTACTGTCAGAGACAACGAGTAATAACAGGGCATTACATTAAGCCACAGAGGTTACGTGAAGAGTAACCTTGGTAACTTTGCTGCTTTTGGAAGTGGATTATGAATTAATTGGTCCGTACTTAACATTCACTGGAACTAGTAATCTTGTGTGAATCAGAGAAATCATGAATTATAATTTTGATAGGCGTATTTCAACCAGTCCCAAAATCACTTCACCAGACAGTTTATCAAGTTATTTACACATCCTTCACTACGCGGTATTCAATACCCGCATTTACATCAAAATGGTAACAGTGGCATAGACGCAGTTGTACTTAGATGATTACCAGTAAAATAACAGTACTAGTCAAAGTAATGGAACAACAAGAACTAATAAGAATATGAGTGGCTTTAAAGGCCACCCAAGCAACTACCGAGATAACTAATTACTTTTCCCTATTTTGTGAGAAGTCGTCTTTCAAGCCAAAATTCCGAAACCTGATTGACTGTTTCAGCAGTTGCTGTCATGGCCTTTTAAGTAACTACATCGCATGTTCTTCTAGACAGTAAACACTGACCGTATTTCCCTCTCCTTATCAGGAAAAGCTCACCTCCTTCAAGATGTAATATGGGATCAATAATCGGTAAAAGTTTAGAAAATCTGATTCCATTCGGATTCTGATACATAGAACAGAACTTCCTGTTGCTTATGAATTCTTCAGTATTCAAAGGCATTAGAATTCAAAAATGTGGAATCTTCAACAGAAAATCGCAGTGACAGCTTAATGTCTTCGAGTTTTCCAAAAATTAAACAGAAATTATGATTGTTAAAAGTCTCAGTAAAAAGTAAATGCATACCAAATGTATGGATTGGATCTGAAATAAACAAAGGATTTAACTTGAATCCTCCAAGACCCATCAGAATAATCTTCAATGATGACACAGGACACAAATGAGAAACATACATTACTAATTCTCAACATTCCATTGTTTTGGGAAGCAATGAAACTGCTATCCCTCGAAAATTACTGTCCAATAAGTGAGAATAAACAATCCCATTCACTCATTTGACTCTCTCACCATATGAACATTTATCAATTCTCAAATTACTCAAATTTTCGGATGGCCATAATGACAACTAAAATCTAGACAGACAGTAGAATCCAGGAGATCAACTCACTTATTAACTTTAAAGTGAACATATTCACAACAATGGTATGTAACACACTTCTCGAGTACTTCATCAAACAGTGAGTATACCTCCTTGATAATGCTGCATACCTTAATGTGAACAGTGCTGAAAACACACTGGCATTTGTCTGCAGTTCTTTAAATTTTTATTCCTTTGCACCACAGTATCTAATTCTGATAGCGTAAATCTGTAATGCTTTGAACGGTAACACTTGAATAGATATTTACTTGGATTACATCAATACGTGGAAACTTACAGATTCCCCGAATCTTTAGTGTGGGTCCTTTTGGTCTTTGAAGCTATAAGTATAAGAATTTATGATAAAACAGTTTATCCAGCGTAATGGGGCAATGAGAAGTCGAATCAAACATGTCGACTGCTTATAACGGAAATTTGGGATTTTGTGCTACCTTGGTGCCACCACTGGTGAATAAAGAAAGTATGACTGGAAACGAACTAAAGTGTATATGCTGAAAAGTAGTATTTTCTTGTTCATTTCATAACTTGTGGAATGTTCTGATGTTCTTAATCAAATTTAATGACCTTCCGCACCATTTAGGTCCCGTAAAACCCTGTACATTTCCCAATATATATCAATGTGATGATGCCTGTAAACTGGTTTCTCTCATGTTAAATTACTAATATGAGAAAAAAACTATTTATTATTTATTTATTTATAATCTGGGTGAACTTTTGAATTGGTTTCATTGGTTCATTATCGATATTCATTTGCAAGCTCGCTTCATCTCTCTTCAAAGAAAGAATCACATTTTAGTACCGACAATTCAAAGCTACAAGAAGTATCCTTAGAATTCATATTAGTTACTTCTAGGTCGCATCAATGTAGAGCAGTATATTGTACTGGCTTTTATCCATATAACACTGCATATAATTCTTATCTTTCTGTTCGCAAAAGGACAAGCATTTATTAACCTTACACTGGAGATGCTTGAATTATTATTAGTTGAAATCGTTGGAGCAGTTACTACTACCTCAGGAGGCATAGAAGCTGGATTAATACCATTAGAGTTTGAATCGAAATTGACTGGATTCAACTCAGTGACAGGCATACGATATTCATCGTATTTTGCAACCATGAAAAGTTTTGGCACAAAGTCCTGTAACAGTAGGAAGTTTAATTTATTGTCAGATCCGGCATTGAGACCTGAGGGAGTCGATGACTAGCCTCTTGAGAATAGAAGAAAATATTTTTTACAGAATTCAATCAACACTCAGGACTAGACAACATCGAATTAGTTGCTCCGCACTACTCAGTCAACGCATATTGTCCAGTTCAACAGGAGGTCATTCTTGATCTAAATAGCCAGGTGGAAATGCCGCTCACAGCAACCCTGGTTGAAGAATTCACGAATCACTTTTCCTCTAAGCTGAAAATATGCCTTCCTAACGAGTGCCAACAAACAGGGAACTTAAGTCAAGTAGGACTTTCTCCCAATCTTCTGGTGTTCACTAATCTGCATTAGAGTACACCATGATTCAGATAGTCACATAAAGTCTTCCGTATCACGAGGAGTATATGAACTGCAAGCTAACTGAATGAATTCCCCAGTCTGTTTGCCTACTGGATCCTATTAATCCAGCCAGATAGTAATTGCAACATTGAAACATTCTTATCAAATTATCCACTGATAAATGAGCAGAATTTGAAAACTAATTCTCTGCTATCACTAAGCAAACACCAAACTGTCATGAACAATCATTGAGGTTCATGAGTTATGATGAAAATCTAAATCTCGCAAAACTGCTTCATACATTAAACAACCCCACCCCGTAATTAACTTCAGAACGAAGCTCAAAGTTCTATATCATTGATGGTCACCTCCAAAGAAAAGATGCCGACTCATTTCTTGGGTCCACTTAAAGAAAGCACGGTCTGAATGAGCAAGTTATTGATTTAGAAAGTTCGGTCCCTCTTAGTAGAAAAAGAAATCTTATACATTCATTTTTCTAAAGTGTCAAGAAAATACAT